GAGCTTTTCCAGCAACTTTGTTTTTGTTCCAATCTTTTTTCTGTTCTTTTTCTCTATAACTGGACTTCTTGACTGTTGTTTCCACCCTTGCCCTTGTAAGGCTTGTTTCTTCTTTATTCTGTTTTTTAAGAGAAATTTTCAAAAAAATGCCAGTTCCATATAATGCAATGATATTGTCATGTGGTATCTAAATGTGACATAAATGAGGTATATGGATTCTATTTACTTAAAGATCTCTAGTAGGTTTCTTTACAGCTGAACTAATTCTTGTAGTACAGAGTAACTTCCAAACACCGATTTACCTTGAGTATGAAGAATTCATAGCCTGCAGTCATATGACAATATCCAGGTACTTAGCTCATTTGCCAGTTGAGCTTCTTAAAGGGACATCGGTCCAAAAGTGATTCTACAACCACTAGAGTGAAGAATTATTACGATGATTATTTATAACACAATGACCTGGCCACATTTGGATCCTTAGCTGTCCAATTCTCTGCACCACACTTCACAAAGATGTGAAAGTTTTAAAGATAGTGCAGTAAATAGTTACAAGAATTATGCCAAGGATGAGGAACTTTGGTTATGTGAGAAGGCTAAGAAGGTAGTGTATATGCAAACATACGAATTAGGAACAGAATTAGAACATACCACCTTTAAAGCCTGTTCTGCCATTCAATCAGATCATGGCTGATCTGTTTGTGTTTCACATTCCACATTCCCGTCTTTCCCCGATAGTTTTTGATCCCCTTGCCCAAAAGGAATTTATCTACTTATGCCTTTAAAATATTCAGTGCCTCCACTACCTTTTGAGACATAATGTGCCAAAGTCACATAGCCCTCTAACAAAACAAAATCTCCTCATCTCTGCCTTAAAAGGGTAACCCCTGATTGTAAATCAGTGTCCTTATTTCTGGTCTCACCAAAAGAGTAAAGATCCTTTCTATGGTCACATTCCTCTTTGACTAAGGAGATCAAAACCATACACAGTATTTTAGGTGTGGTCTCACCAATGCCCTGTATAATTAAAGCATAATCTCCTTACTTATGTGTTAATTTTCTCTCATAACTGTGAGATTCTGTCCCATTGGCTTTCCTGATTATGTGCTATACATGCATGCTAACCATTTGTGCCTCGTGCTTTAGAATACCTAGATTCCTCTGCATCTCAGAATTCTGCACTCATTCTCCATTTATGTAACACTCTGCATTTTTATTCAACAACTTCACATTTCCCCACATATTATTCCACCTACCAGATCTTTGCCCACTTACTTAACCTATCTACATCACTCTGTATCCTTGTTATGCCATTTTCACTTTCCAACCTATCATTGTGTCATCGGCAAATCTAGCCACCATGCTTTCAATCTCCTCAGGAAAGTCATTCACATAAATTATAAAAAGTTGAGTGCTCACCATAGACTCCTGTGGGACCCCACTTGTCACATTCTGCTAATCAGAAAAAGGCCCATGTTTCTTCCGTGTTCAAAATCATGAGTGGTGTAGTCAAAGTAGATAGAGAAAATCTACTCCCATTGGCAGGAAGGTTGAGAAGCAGGGAATACAGAATCAAACTGCTTGGCAAAAGAACCAAAGACGACACAAGGAAAATCTACTTTACGATGTGAGAGGTTACGATTTGGAATGTATTGCTTGCAAGGGTGGTGAAGGCAGATTGGGTTGTGACTTTCAAAGGGGAATTGGAGAAGGGAAAATAAATACAGGGCTTTGACTCAAGAGCAAGGAACTGGGATTAGCTAAAATGCTTCTACAGCTAGTCTGCACCAAATTAATGCATTGAATATGGCTGACGTAACCATTCTTTGATTCTATATACCTCCTTACCCAATATCTTTATCACTGCAAATACCTCAATTCATCCTTCAATTGGCTAAACTCAAGGGATTACAAACCAAGTTTGTGGTATTTTTCAAGCTTGAATCCTTTGAATGCCTGTAAAATTTTGGCGAGTCTGTGTATCATCGTGATCAAGTTTGGCCAGAAACAGAATGCTCCAAGGGTAGCCAATTCAAAACTCTGTACAAATGAAGCATGACTTCCCTAATTTAATGATGTGATCCTACTAAAGAAAAGGCCAAAGCTCCAATAGTCTTTTTATTAGTTTTTCTACTTGTCCAAAAACTGTTGGTAATCTTTGTATATGGAGACTCTGTTTCTTTCCACAGGTATTAGTCTTTCATAAAAATGATTTTGTCTTTCTCTAATTCACAGTGGCTAACTTCACATTTCTACTTTTCTCAAGTAACTGTCCTGTGAATTTCTGTATGACAGAGTAAGTGTACGATTAGCCGTCAAGTCTGAATATCCATTTCATGGCCTCCAAAGATACAAGTAGAGAAATGAGGTGCCACCTGTAGAGACTGTAATGAAGACATCATGGAATATGAGTTCCCTCATTGGGGCTGTTAATCTGGTCCAATCAAGGAGCCCTAGCTGACAATATAAAAACACAAGTGTCAGAGATACTGACACTTTAGTACTGCCTCATTCAGAGTGAGGTACCAAAGCCAAGCACTGTACATGTGTAAATAAAGGATGACTTGCTGACGGACACTGGGCTCTGTGGAATTATTTCACTACCCACAGCAGATCTCAGTGCGCAGAATAGTGTGATGTGTTCCACAATCACAACAGCCCTTCGGGTTGTTTGTCATCTTTCACACATGGAACAATTGGCAGTATCATCCATGCCCATTGTAGATTCAGTTGAGTACTAGCCACCATTTTTAAGAGTTGGAGGCTGGGATCAATGATGAGGTGTTGATTATTTATGCTGCATGTGTTCCATGACTCTATATGCCCAGATAGTGAGTTGATACCAAATGTATGAAAAATTGCTGTTGTTTTCTAAAATAGCTGGTATGAATTCAAGTACTTTTTGATAGGTTTTCAAATCCTTAGAACAATGGCATCTTGGCAAATTGCAGAGTGTGGGACAAAACTCGGAGTCACTCAATCAGAGGTCCTAAACAACCTTTTTATTGTGAAATTTAGGATGATTAACAATTTAAAGGGATTATGTAAATACAAGTTGTTAGTGAGTAGAAAATATAAATTTATAGCTGAAGCAGATCCAAATATAATTATTGATCCTTCACTGAAGTTTCATATCAATATGAAGCTGTTATTGAAAAAGGTTAATCTAATTATTCAGTTTCAGGTAATGCCAAGTTACTTTAAGCAAAAACAAGGCATTTTATTGAGTGATGGCATATTCAAAATATTATGTGCGCTTTTCTGCATCCAGCCTTCAAAAGTATCTTGATCATTTGGAGAAGATTCAAAGAAAAGTAACAAGGATGTTTTTAGAATTTAAGTTTCCTGTTCCAAATTACGAAGACCAACTTGCAAATTTAACTTACTTTCATTGTGCAGGTCATGGTGCTTTAAAATCTCAGCAAGCTTGAGTAACTTAAGATATTATGCATACAACTAAGAAGATACAACACAGGTAATTAAAAATTAGACAAGGCTGCAGAAGAGAATGATAAACATCCAAAAATATCAAAATTACACGTTAAGAACATTTGCATTAAAAACCAAAAACATTAGTATTTGCAATGTTGCTCCTGTCTCACAGAACAATTTGTTTACCTCACTATGCTGGATGTGTGAAGCAATTTTAATGCAAAAGCAATTTGGTTAAGTCACAAATATGGATTAAACCATCACATTATTAAAGGAATTAAAAATTATGCTACTATTCCTTTTCGTTCCTCCTGCCAGGAGATCTGTGTCATGGTATACCGTTCTTGTCTGTCTCGTGCCATCCTTACACATCAGCTGTAGCCTGTCTGCAACAGCTCCGTGATCTCCATCATCCAACCACACTTAGGTCAACCCTCTTTCTGTTATTTTGCATGTTATCCTCTGGAAGAGATTTGTGCAGCTTTTTAGCTTCAGATCAAATGACACATTTTGGAATGTCTTTTTTTTTAAAGCACTTTTTAATCTAGCAATTTTGAGTACCTTTTCATTTGTTTCATGTGTTTTTCTTTCTTCAGTTTACACCTCAGCATCGACTGGTCATCTAGGTTTCTGAGGCAGTCAAGGAAATTGGAAAGAATGCAGCATCTTATAAGTTTTCTTCCATTTTCAAGCCTGAGCTTTCCTCTTGTTAATATCCTTCACCTTTGTAAAATTACTTCTGGCTATCTCTATCCTCCTAATTCTGCATCCCATCTGTCATTGTTTGTACTGAATAGATAGACTTATCTTCTTGTTTTAGTGTGACACCATCTACTTCAGTCTTCACACTAGCTTTTCCTGACATAGTACTTCAAACTGCAATTTGTTTTTGTCTCTTGAGGCTCATTCTTGAATGATAGTCTGTACTTCTAGATTTTACTTACCCACATATTTTGTAGGACCTCTTCTAATTCTGAGAGTAATGCTGTTTTGTTGGTATACTGCAAATCCATGTGCTTACCATCAATTTTTAACCCGGAAGTACGTTTAACCCTCTTAATATTTGTTCTGTGTACAGACTGAATAATTTGCTAACAACAGTACACAGTCTTGGCTTACTATTCTCTTCGCTTGAAACATGTTAGATTGTCCCTTTCCTAGCCTGGTGTTCATTTTTTCATCCCCATGTAGGCTCTGGATAAATATCACATCTTTTATTGTCAATATCACATTTCAGCAACATGTCTATTAACCTTTAGTGATTAAATGCAATTCAAGTTTCTTTCAAACTTATGAAGCATATGTGAATGTTCTTCATTACTTTCAATTATGTATTGGAGGTTGTTTCATTGTTAAATGTTGTACTCTTTCTTGTTCCTAATCCAGGTCTAAATCCAGACTGCTTTACACCAATTTCTGTTTCAAGTATGTTTTTATTTCTTTGAATTTTTTAAATTCTTTCTTTCACTTTAATGTTCTGACTCATTAAATTATGGTTTTAAAATGATTCCACATTTACAGTGGGATCACCACTCTCTGCTTTCTTACATTACCAACAGAATAATAATGGGAACCCACAATTTATACTGGAAAAAAATGATGACAACTTCTGAATTTATCCTTTTCAAGCTGACAATCTGAATCATAGTAGTGAAATGGTAAACAGATTTCAGGACACTGATTTTTTGGAAGTAAATGAAGGCACATGACAGGGAAATGAATACACCATTGTTTTATGTTGTGTGCTTTTCCCTTTCATACTCCTACAAAGTCAAATGAGATGTTCTTCCTCTCTTGCCCACTGAGTCACTGGTACTATTCATGAATAACGCTTCAGCACCTCAGGTATGATTAAAATCCTATACAGCTTAAGACTAGTTTAGTTTGTAGAAACTGGAATTAACATAGTATTGACGAAAAGCTTAAAACTGTGGTTTCACTAAACTGGAGACATCTGGTGCCTCCAGTCAAGAAGTGTTATATTACCGAATACTTTCTTTAAAATTTTTCAAACTTAAGCCATAATCTTAACCATAGTTTTTTGAAAAGGGGTTTCAAATAAGATGCTGTGAAATTATTAGTAAAGAAATCCCTCCTGCGTGCCATCCTGTGTGCATACAAATCTTGAGGTTTGGCCTGAGTTTATCTGAAGAACAGACAGATGAACCCACAATAAAACATAACCTTCACTTAGGCAGCACTGAGCCTTCACGGCGCCAGGGTCCCAGGTTTGATTCCACCCTGGGGTGACTGTGTGGAGTTTGCACGTTCTCCCCGTGCCTGTGTAGGTTTCCTCCCACAGTCCAAAGATGTGCAGGTTAGGTGGATTGGCTGTGTACGGTTGGAAATGTACGGTTATAGGGGTGGGGTGGGGTCTGGATGGGATGCTCTTCGGAGGGTTGGTGTTAACTCAGTAGGCTGAATGACCTGCTTCCACAGTGTAGGGATTCTATGAGTTTAGATTACCTCAGTGTGAAAGTGTTGCTACCCAAAGGTGGTTTGGAAAAATTAGTGACAGCCATGGATCAGCAGCTTCTAAATTCAAGAACTGCAGGTTCAAGTCATGACATCTGAAACTTGAACATGAAGGGCAGAATCTGACAGGGCTCTGAGTGTTGTGGGCTATGGTGAGAAATCTGGAAATCGCATGAATAGTTGAGCATGTTTGTAAATATTGTCACTTCTCACTATCCTTTGTTGTGTTGAGAAAAGGCATTCCATGTCCAAATGCAACAAGATCTAAACAATGTCCAGACTTGGACTGAAAAGTGACAAGTAACATTTGTACCAGGCAATGACCATTTCCATTGACATTTGATGGTGTTACTATCACTGAATCACCCACTATCAACATTCTGGGGGTTGACCAGACATTCAACTGAGCTCGCCATATAAATATATTGGCTACGACCTTCTGACCGCCACCCCCTCCCACCCCAAAAGCTGTCATTCATCTATAAGGCACAAGTCAGGAGTGTGATGGAACATGCTCCACTTGTCTGGATGGGTGCAGCTCTAACAACACGCAAGCTTGACACAATCCAGGACAAAGCAGCCCACTTGACTTGCACCACATCCACAAGCATCCAATCCCTCCAGCACCAACGCTCAGTAGCAGCACTGTTCTCTGTGTACAAAATGCACTACAGAAGTTCACCAAAGATCATCAGACAGCACCTTGCAAACCCATGACTGTTTCCATCTAGAAAGACAAGGGCAGTAAATACATGGGAAGACCACCACCTACAAGTTCCCCTCCAAGCCACTCACCATCCTGACTTGGAAATATATTGCTGTTCCTTCGCTGTCGCTGGGTTAAAATCCTGGAATTCCGTCCCTAATGGCATTGTGGGTTAACCTACAGCACATGGACTGCAGCATTTCAAGAAGACAGCTCACCACCACCTTCTCAAGGGTAACCAGGAAAGGGTAATAAATGCAGGGCAGGCAGTGATGCTCATGTCCCACATGTGAATAAAAAGAAAGGAAGCTTATTATGGCTGTTAGCTGTCATCAGTCAAGGGAGTGAACATCATGCAGTACATTTCATTGCTACTTAATCTCATTTTTATGTGTCAGCCATGTATGCAACAACCACACTGAATATGCCTCAGGCAGACAGCCATGTCTCAAAATCTAAGGGGCATGGTTCACACTGATGTCCGGTGGGGTGGGGGGCACTTGTGAGTCAGAGCTTCCTGGCACAGTAAGTCAAGGGCAGTTTCCAACATCAGTCCAAGGACTTGAGAACAGTCGGGCATCTGGTGAGGGAGTCGATAAAAGTATAGTATGGGGAGTGGTCACTGTCAGCCCCATGGGTCTGTGCAGCAATCTGAGAAGTTGTGAGAACACAGTTGGGAAGTTATACAAATATCAGTCAGGGGAGTGGTCAATCATTGTTTGGGGCTAAGTTGCTTCTGGGAATGGGTCATGGTCAGTGCAGGATTCATCTATGAAACATCAAGGAGGGGAGGGAGTTTTCAGGGTGCTGGCACATGGGAGGGTGGTTGGGAATTTACTGGAGTGCAAGCAGAATGCTTGGATGGAGATGAGTTTACAAAAGTGAAGGGGAGCACTCTATATATAAGGGTGGGAAGAAAGATTATAGAGTATAGGAGGGCAAGCAAGAGGGAGGGAGGGTTGTCAATTTGTGAGCAGCATCCTGGCTGCCAGGGTAAGAACATTAAACTACACGATCTGGCAAATTCACCTCATATACTCAAGACTGGTGGGGTAAGGTGGGCGGATCCAGACTCAGACAGGTTGCTAAGTGATACCTATATGAAGTTGATGGGTTCAGCTATCAGAAAGGAGATTTTGATGTCTGAGTGTTCCTCTATATAGAGAGGCTGAGCTGACATCTCATGGTTCGAGGAACCGCTGTTGCCCTTCATTAATCACAAGTGTGCAATGGAAATGAAAAGGGTTGGGACTTCACCTGGAATGGGTGGGGTAAGTGCTTCATTCAATGAGGAGGGCTCTGCAAGATTTAGATATGTGGAACCCTTCAAAGGGAACTTCAGTCGACACTCACCCATGCTGTGAGGATGAAACATACTTGCGATCTCATAATTCCTTGTAACCCTTGGCATTAGTCTACTGTGTGCGGTCCAACTTTTTCACTCAGTACTCAGGGCCTTTTCATGCAGGCTAACAGTTGAACCCCTCTAAAACTGTGATGCAACAGCAATATCAGTGCACCTGGAAAGATGGAGCTTAGTTGCCAAAGTCACAGGCACCTGCAATTCACACTGCATGCAGATGGAGGACAATTGCTGACTTCACACCTTGGTCCACAGGACACTGTCTAGGGATATAGGTGGGTGGTTGCATTTGCTGCTACATAAAGACCCAAACAAGTCCACGGAGGCAGCCAGATGATCATATGCTGAGACAGCAGAGTCCTTACGGTGTTGCTGCACTTCCTCATTCATTTTGTACAAATGACCAGTACACCCAACAAACCTGTTGCTTCCATGGCTGCTTACAGAGTTTATAAACTCCCAGATTCTCATACTATGAGGTCCTTTCCTACTTGGAGATGAATAGGTGCCTGGTCTCCAGCAATCCTCCGAGTGCCAGTGGCTGGGGCATTTCATTTTTGACCAGCTGCAGACATTACCAATGCAAAAGCTAAACTGGCCATTTATTCATCACTAGTTGTAATATCTCCCCCTGCCCAAATGAACTGGAATGTTCACCTACATATCAAAAGTTATTACACGTCAAAATATATTATCAGCTGTAAAGTAGTTTGGGCTACATTCAGGATCTAAAAACCACTACATAACTACAAGTTATTTATTATCATAGAAAATGATGTTGTTATCCTTGTAAATGCGCAAGTAATATCTATTTATTTTGCCTAGCCTTTAGTTCTCCAACATTCAAGATGGCTCGTACTATTTACTTTTGCTGGATTCTCCAATATACCTGCTGCCTCCTTGTGTATTCACATCTGGTGATTGAAGAAAAAGACCCAGAAACTCCACAAAACAAGATTATTTCTGGTCTCCAACCTGAGCAGGAATCGAAGTATACTGGCATCTCCATTGTAGGTTAGTCATGAGATTGTTGGGGATAATACCTGAGTAGATGGTGGTAAGTGGAAGGGAAAAGAAAGCACTTTAAATTAGTTGTTTTGCATCAATACTGAGGGTCAAGAGAAGAGTATTGAAAATCACTTTTGATAAGAAAAATTATTTGATTTAAAAGGGGTCTGTCCTTTTTGACCTGATTACTGAAACTATCTGATATGCTATTCCTGTGCTAGCATGCATACTGCCAGCTTGGTGTTCAAAGAATTATTCTAATTTGCTTCATATATTGTCTAATTAAATTTCAATATTTAGCTTTAAGAGCGTAAATCATTGTAATATCAGTTATTCGCAAGTCTTAGGAGACAAATTTCTGGGAAGTTTCATTCGAGGCAGGAAAGTACAATGGAGTAGCATTCCCATCAGCCCTTGTGTACTGTAAGCTAAATGTATAGGATTATTTAAATAGTTTGAGTGGTCACCTGTAAGGCTGCATTAGTCGTAAAGTCTGTGACTGTATGACTTGTGGCCAAGAACATATGAACAGATGGAGAGTATGATTCTATCAGTTATTAAAAATTCTTATAAAGTACATTTTTAGAGTTAAATGATCTCTCAGGTTTTTACTTGATTTTAAAAATCCCACCTGTTGTTGAAATGCTCACTCTCCACCCACTCTGACCCCAGAAACTTTGGTCTCTTCATATCTATAATTAAAAATAGGGAGCATTTGGATGATGAAAGTAATCAGAGGTTAATAATTGGCGATAGGGGAGGAGATGGCCTCGTGTTATTATCGCTGGACTATTAATCCAAAGACCCAGATAACGTTCTGAGGACCTGGGTTTGAATCCTGCCATGGCAGATGATGGAACTTGAATTCAATAAAAATCTGGAATTAAGATTTTAATGATCACGAATCCACTTTCAAAAGTCGGAAAAACCCATCTGGTTCACTAACGTCCAGCATGTGACTCCAGACCTATAGCAATGTGGTTGACTCTGAACTGCCCTCTGGGATGTGCAATAAATGCCAGCATTAGCCGTCAATGTTCTCGTCCGTGAATGAATAAAGTAAAAGTAAACACATTTTTAAAAGGTAAATCATATTGGACTAAATTTGCAGAATTCTTTGAAATAGCTGAAAGGGTTAATGAAGATAAATCAGGAGATGCATGTATGAACTTTCAAACAGAATTTAAAAACAGGCTGTATTATGGGCTTGTCAGAAAACAGAAACTCATTGTATTAATGGGGCAGTGATAGTGCAAATAAAAATATAATTGAGAATGACAATCTTGTGGCGTAGTGGCAGTGTCCCTACCTCTGTGCTAGAGAGTCTGGGTTCAAGTCACACCGTATGATGTGATGGCCAAGTAGGTACCTGTACATAATAATGTGCCCAAATAAGCTTACTTAAAATTAGCTGTGACAGAATGCAAAGAGTAGTGGTTGTTTTTCAAATCGGAAAGAAAGTACATGCTGTGGTCCATTGGGAATTGGTAATGAACTTTAGGCACCATAACTCACTGAAAGCATAGGTAAGGTTAGAACATTAAGAGGTTCAGCACAATTTGTATGAGTATGGGAACATAGTTTTAAAGATAACACAAAATTGGAAATGTACTGAACAATAGTGAGGAGCGTATGAGATCAAGAGGGCGTGGACAGACTATTAAAACAGGGAGACACATGGCAGGTGAAATTTAATGCAACAAAGTGTGATGTGATTCATTTTGGATTTAAGAATACAAACCACACCATATCATTCACAGAACATTGAACATAGTAGGACAATCTGATAAAGCTGCATATAAAAAGAAGGCATGTAGAGATCCTTGGCCTTATGAATACATTGTAAGTCCATCTAAATAGCTACTCAACACATACTCTACACCTTTAATGTACTTTGCTATAGTATAGCACTAAAAATAGTTTTCATAGATATGGCCTAAACAGCCCTTTATAGAGCTCAAATTTGTATGCTCCTATGTGGGAGACCAGAAATTGTGCTGAACCTCTTAATGTTCTAACCTTACCTATGCTTTCAGTGAGTTATGGTGCCTCAAGTTCATCCAGCTAACCAAGCTGATATTGCACTCTGAAAGATGTCTTTCTGTCCAAAAACAGATAGCAGCACTTACCTCAGTTTAAATGGGAGTGTTTAAATGTCTGTTGACTGAATTCAACTACCATACAATAAAGAGTACTGCATGAAGTTGAGCAGATATTGCAAGTGCAGGATTGTTGAAACCCGAATGCTCTTCAGCTCTAATGGTCTTCATGACATCACTGTAAGTCTGGAGTTCATGATAACCATGAAATGAAAACTTACACAACATTGTTTACAACCTATGTTTATAACAGAAACTTGGTAGATGATATCGGCAAGGAGACAACATGATTAGTCAACTCCTCAGTACAATTAAGTCATTGTTACATTTCAGAAGTTTTAGTTCCTGGTCTACCGCAGCAGTTAACACTGCGCTTCAGATTTGACTCCTCAGTTTCCCAACCTCTCACATTTTCCTTACAGAACTGCCAAATAGCAGAAAAATAAATTTCAGAAGAGATGATAGAAGAATGAGCCCCAGTCCACCTAAAAAAGTAAGTAATATCAGGCAGCTTTTTGTAAATTTGTCTTTGCAGTTATGTCCATCAGAATTAAAGCATTTTTGCCTTCCAAGTAACTAGATTAGGCAGTAAATTTACTAATGTGACAATGAGTCACACATCTATGGAATTCACAATTTTACTTATTGATCTGAAATATTTCACTGGAGCTACAGATCAATATCCATAATCTCTGACATGGGGTCCTTGGACTAAAGAGGTAAAATTCAGGCTACCTGGGTTCCGACTTTTGATTGCTATAGCAATCTCTGTCAGAATGCAAATGTATATGTCAGTTGAGGGTAGAATTTGACTACGCCAGAAACCATGACTTATGGTTGAATGCCCTATTAATATTTGTAATGAAAACAGAAAATGTTAGAAATACTCAACATATCAGGCAACATCTGTGGACAGAAACAGAGTTCAAGATAATGATAATTTTTATTTTGCTTTCTAACACATTTATATCTGGTTAAGCAAGATACCGGTAAATAGGTGATATCAGAACTATGATTTAACATAAATTGTTACTTTTAAGTAAATCAGAGATTGAGTAAGTTCCCAAAGGTGAGGAAATAGGACCTTTCTGTAAGTGTTTGAAGCTATAAGGGCATCCAGATTGTTCAGAAGACACAACAACTAACAGCTGGACAGGAGTAAGCCAGACATACTAATAGATTCAGCAGTGTAGCACACATCAGATTCATCCTTCTGTCTGCCAACAGTCATAAAATCTTTGCCCCTACCTTTTGAGGAGTGTGCTCGTGACAGAGGCAGGTCTATTCTTGCCAATCAGTCATTGGTCCCCCAAAATGAGGATGACATTTGCCAGGCTTTGTGGTTTGTATGTCCTCGGGTGACTCTCAGGTTAATTCTGGAACCATTGACCTTTAGCAGAGGATACCCTGAGAATGGGAGTATCAAGCTAGGGTTCTTCTCACTTTCTTTCCTCTTTTGCCTCTTTCCACAGCAGAGTTTCTGCAGTCAGTTTCCAACTGGTATATGGCTTGTTGGATGAGGCACTGCCACATCGCACAGCTTGCAGGGAAGTTGCTCCCACACATCCAGCACATACATACTAGAATACCCACCCCTTTCACATTTTCGAGATCTGTATTTACATTAATAATAATAACAGGAACCAATGTTACCATTCTACCTGCACTTTCTGCATTTGACTTAGACCGTAAGATATAGGAGCAGAATTAGACCATTTGGCTTATCGAGTCTGCTCCATCTGATAGGATTCTCAGCTCCATTCTCCTGCCTTGTCCCCATAACCCTTGATCACATCTCTCCCTTAAAAACACTCAATGACTTGGCCTCCACAGCCTTCTGTGGCAATGCGTTCCACATATTCACCACCCTCTGGCTGAAGAAATTCCCGATCTAAGTTCTAAACGGTTGTCCCTTCACTCTGAGGCTATGCTCTCTGGTCCTAGTCTCTCCTGCCAGTGGAAACATCTTCTCCATGTCCACTCTATCTAGGCTTCTCAATATTCTGTAAATTTCAATCAGATACCCCCTCACCCTTCTAAACACCATCGAGTACAGATCCAGAGTCCTCAACTGATCCAAACATGACAAGCCCGTCAACCCCAGGATCGTTCTTGTAAACCTCCTCCAACGACAGCACATCCTTCCTTAGATATGGAGCCAAAAACTGCTCACAATATTCCACACACAGCCTGATCAGAACCTTATATTGTTCTCATATTCTAGTCCTCTCAAAATGAATGCTAACATTACTTTTGCCTTCCCAACTGCCAACTGACCCTGCATATTAACCCTAAGAGAATGCTGAACTAGATCTTGCAAGTCCCTCTGTTGTTCAGATTTCTGAAGCCTTTCCCATTTAGAAAATAATCCATGCCTCCACTCTTCCTACCAAAGTGCATAACCCCACACTTTCCCACATTGTATTCCGTCTGCCATTTCTTTGCCCACTCTGCTTGCCTGTTCAAGTCCTTCTGCCTCATAGCACTAGGGACTGGGGTTTGATTCCAGCTTTGGTGACTATCTGTCACGTTCTTTATGTGTTTGTGTGGGTTTCCTCTGGGTGTTATTAGCGATATACAGCATGACTTTGTGAGGGGAAGATTGTGCCTCACTAACTTGATCAAGTTTTTTGAGGAGGTGAATAAGAGATTCATGGATGATAGTATAATGTAGGGTATGGAGGGTAGTTTGATGTTAGTAGGATAATAGGTCAGTACAACATCAAGGGCTGAGGGGCCTGTACTGTTCTATGTTCTATGATTGCTGAGGGAAAAGCAGTTGATGTTGTCTACATGGCTTCAGTAAAGCCTTTGACAAGGTCCCTCATGGCAGACTGGTACAAAAGGTGAAGTAACATGGTATCAGGGATGAGCTGGCAAGATGGATACAGAACTGGCTTAGACATAGGAGACAGTGGGTAGTGGTGGAAAGACGCTTTTCGGAATGGAGGGCTGTGACTAGTGGTGTTCCACAGGGATCAGTGCAGGGACCTCTGCTGTTCATAGTCTACACAAATGATCTGGAGGAAATGTAGCTGGTCTAATTAGTAAGTTTGTGGATGATACAAAGATTGGATAGTCGAAGGATACAGCAGGATTTAGATCAGTTGGAGGCATGGGCAGAAAAATGGCAGATGGAGCTTAATCCAGACAAATGTGAGTTGATGCATTTTGGAAGCTCAGGCGACTGTCTGTGTAGGGTTTGCATATTGTCCCCATGGTTGCGTGGGTTTCCTCCGGGTGCTCCGGTTTCCTCCCACAGTCCAAAGATGTGCAGGTTAGGTGGATTGGCCATGGAAAATTGCCCATAGTGTCCAGGGATGTGTAGGTTAGGAGGATTAGCCATGGGAAAAACAGGATAGTGGGGTGAGTCTTGGTGGGACGTTCTTCGGAGAGTCAGTGTGGACTTGTTGGGCCAAATGGCCTGTTTCCACACTGTAGGGATTCTATGATTTACAAGATCAAGCACAGGTAGAAATTATACAGTGAATGGCAGAACCCTTAGGAGCATTGATATGCAGACAGATTTAGGTGTGCAGGTCCACAGATCACTGAAGGTGGCAGCACAGGTTGATAAGGTAGTATGAAAGGCTTATGGCATGCTTGCCTTCATTGGAAGGGGCATTGAGTGTAAGGATAGATAAGTTATGCTGTAGCTCTATGGAACTTTAGTTAGTCCACACATGGAATATTGCACATAGTTCTGATCACCACACTTCCAGAAGGATGTGGATGCTTTAGAGAGGGTACAGAAAAGGTTTGCCAGGATGTTGCCTGCTGAGGGGGATTTTAGCTATGAAGAAAGATTGAATAGACTGGGTTTGTTTTCACTGGAACACAGGAGGTTGAGGGGTAACCTGACAGAAGTTTATAAGATTGTGAATGGCATGGATACAGCAGAAAATATGAGGCTTTTCCCAGGGTGGAGGGATCAATTACTAGGGGACACAGGTTCAAGGTGCGAGGGGTGCGGGCGGTAGTTGCGGGGGGGTGATGTTTTAAAGGGATGTGCAAGGCATGTTTTTCACATAAAGGGTGGTGAGTGCCTGTAATGCTTTGCCAGAGGAGGTGGAGAAAGCAGACAGAATAGCAGCATCCAAGATGCACCTGGACTAATACATGAATAGGAAGGGACTAGAGGGATACAGATCCTGTAAGTGAAAACAGTTTTAGTATGGAAGGGCAAAATGTGTCGGGGCAGGCTTGGAGGGCCGAAGGGCCTGTTCCTGCGCTGTATTATTTTTTGTTCTTTGTTCTTTGTGTTCCAGTTTCTTCACATAGTACAAAGATGTGCAAGTCAGGTGGATTGGCTACGCTAAATTGCCCTGTGATGAGCAGGCTAGATGGATTAGTCATTGTAAATGCAGATTACAGGGATAGTGTTGGGGCTAGATTTGGGGGGAATGCTCTTCAAAGGCTCAGTGCAACTTGAAGGGCTGAATAGGCTCCTTCTGCACTGTTGGGATTCTATGATTTTATGCTTTCCCCGCTTTCTCATCACTACCTGTCCCTCTTCCTATCTTTGTATCATTTGCAATCTAACAATGTCTTCAGTTCCTCTGTTCAGATTGATGATGCATAACCTGAAAAGTTGTGGTCCCAACACTGACTTCTGTGGCAGTCCACTAGTCACTGGCTGCCATCCTGAAAAATATATCCACAAACCAACTGTAAAAACATTACCGGAGTGGCTAGAACTCAGACAAGCCTACAAGTGGATAGGACAATTACACACACAAATAGAATGAGAAAATATCAGAAAGTTTACTCCTCTCACTTACATAGTAGTAATGCTGTATATTATGCACACCTGTTTCTGGTCCAAACTATTTTGGTTGCAAAACTGCAATTTTAAATCCCCTAACAGCTGTTGAATGGATCTTGGGGCCTCTTGGAATAAATTGCCATGATTTAAAACTATTCCTAAAGATTTTTGTTCTTCTTGACTACTCTAGAGACAGCTTGACATAGTAAACATGCAGTAGATCCCTGAGACTATCTCTACATTCCATGATCCAATGCACAACACCTGTGCAGCAAATTGGCTGTCTTTGTGACAAACAGAATGGCTGTCCCATCAAAGAATCAAACAAATTCTTAATAGTCAAAATCCCTGCTTGTGCAAGAATTAACAGTTCCTAAGTACCTTGGAGGAAGCATTTGACTGGATAACTTTAAGCAAGTACAGTCTTACTTAAAGACAGTAAGGACTCAAAGCAAACACTTAGTGCCTCAATCAGTGATTGACTGATTGATTTATTGTCTTGTGTACTGAAATACAGTGAAAAGCTTTGTTTAAAAATGGCACAGGCAGATCATAGTAAGCAAAGGATATACAGATCAAAAAGACTTAGACAGAGGCATACAGGTTACATTACATAGGGTGTGTGCTAGGTGAGATCAACATTAGCAAGATCAGCATTACTTGAGGCTAGAGAGATCATTCATCAGTCCAATAATGGCCAGGAAGAAACTGTTCCTGAATCTGCTTATGTATGTGTTCAGACTTCTGTATCTTCTGCCTGATGGAAGAGGTTGTAGGAGATCATTACTGGGGTGCAATGGGTCTTTGACAATGTTGGTAGCCTTTCTGCAGCAGAGAGCCGTGTAAATGGAGTCCATGGATGGAAGGTTGGCTTCCGTGATGGTATGGGCTGTGCACAACACCTTCTGTTGCCTACCAGGCCGTTATGCACCCGGACAGTATGCTTTCAATGGTGTATATGAAGAAGTTGGTGAGGGACTTTATGGACATGCCAAATTTCCTGAGTACCTGAGGAAGAAGAGGCATTTTCTGCCTTCTTGACTGTCGCATCCATGTGGGAAGTCCAGGACAGGTTTATTTAACTAGTAGGCAATCCCTCAATCTTAGTTCCGTTGATGTAGATGGGGGTGTGTTCTCCTACGGTACTTTCTGATCATGAATGCTATTCCTTAAGAATGATAGTAAAGCCAAAGAATAGAGAAAATCATCACTGAGAATGTTTTCATGCATCTTGGTATCAAAGCTTTTCCTCACCTTCTGCACTTCAGCATTTTGGAATACCAAATAGTTCTGCTACGGAGTGGCAAGCAGGAACAGTCTCTTTGAATCTGATCTCCGTTTTGGTCCTATGAGAAGGAGCAGTTTTCCACAGATTAGGACTACAGAAGTGAGAATCACCTTTTAGAGTTAATGTCAGCTAATTTCCCAACTGACACATATAAAGTTGGTATTCACAGTGCATTATTATGCGTGTCATTTTCCCTATATGTTGACCAAATTAATAGCACATGATGTTCAAAGCAGTGAAGAAAAAGGAGCAAGAAAATAGTAATGAATTCCATTGAAATATTAATTGCTTCTTCCTCTATTTATCAATACTAGTTTATTCCTCTTCCCCAAATACCCAGATACACAGTTCTATATAGTCTTCCTTCCTCTAGTCTTTGTCTAATTGAAATTCTTCACAGTCTCTAAATTGTATGCATTCCTTCCTAGGAGACATGGAACTCTTTTCCTTTCTCAATCTTCATTTTCTCCTATAATGTACAATTATTTAAAACACAAGCTTGATGCTACCAACCTCCCTGTGTTTTGATTTCCTTTAATTTTTTATTCCGTCCTCTTTACTCTTTGATGTTATCTTGAATTTGGGACCTTTGTCCTTTCACCTTGGTTCTACCGTTCTTTATGAAGACAATGCATATCAGTAATGGGATATAGATTTGATAAAATTTTATAAGGATATTTGTTATAGTAATTTGTACTGTACTCTTCTCATCTTTAATTTTCGTCTCTTTAAATATAGAACAATGGGATTGCAACACCTCATAAGGTGAAGAAGCTAAAACCAGAGAACGGTCATTGTGTGCAGCTCTGGGGAATGTGTCTTCCACCATCTCCACCATGTTGCAATCCTTGTGCCTTCTGCCACTGCCGATTTTTCAATACTGTCTGCTACTGCCGGAAGCTGAATGCCAAGTGTCTGGACAGAACGTAAGCAGCTGCACTCATGATGAAGGACAGCATATAAAAATTAAAAATAAATACTATATACGTCTTCTTGTTGGTTATTGTCAAATCAAATTATGGGTAAGGGTAAAGATAGATTCCAACTGATTGAGAATTATTTACAAATCAACAATAAAAATACAGAACATTGTTTTGTGCCATGACTGTGAAATTGAAGGGTCACAAGCCTACATCTAAAAAAAATGTTTGGCAAATGTTCTGGGGTGAGAGAAAGAACAGCAAGAGAGTCATTTATCGATTGCAAATAAAAAAAATGAGTTACAACATTTTTGCGAATGACCATGCAACACTTCTGTACATAAATAAAAACAAAGTTAAGAGAATCACAAAAGGAAAATGTGTTGGGAGGATGTTATGAACAAATATTATTTCAGTAGTAAATTGAATGACAAAGTATTAATTAACTTAAGCTTCAGGTCATTGAGGTCTGTCTTATCATATATGAGAAAATCAAAATGTTTAGGAAAAGAACACATCAACAGGGCAGGCTACCCTCATTGTATTTGAACATAAAGCGTTGATCAGACAGGGAACAAAGTGGAAAATTCTATTAAATGCGTACCGTTCTCCCTGCTTATGTTTCCTATATCAAATGCCGCTCAGAGAATGAATTGTTACCATGCAGTAATGAGGAATGTCTGGCCCAACATGTGAATTGCTATCTGTTACAACTTACCATTAAAAATACATTTGGACAGGTACAGGAAAGCTCTGAAGGGATACGGGCCAAATACAGGAAAATGGGAATGGTGAAGCCTGATCAGCATGGACAATAGAACATAGAACATAGAACATTACAGCGCAGTACAGGCCCTTCGGCCCTCGATGTTGCGCTGACCTGTGAAACCAATCTGAAGCCCATCTAACCTAAACTATTCCATTATCAGCCATATGTTTATCCAACGACCATTTAAATACCCTTAAAGTTGGCGAGTCTACTATTTTTGCAGGCAGGGCATTCCACGCCCTTACTACTCTCTGAGTAAAGAACCTACCTCTGAGTTTTTTGAAAAGGTGGCTAAAGCTATTGATGATGGTCTTGCAGTTGATGTGGTTTATCTGGACTTAAGTAAGTCTTAACAAGGTCCCACGTAGAAGACTCGTGGAAAAGATAAGAGCCCATGGGATCCAAGGCAAGTTGGCAAACTGGATACAAAACTGGCTTACAAACAGGAGGCAAACAGTGATGGTGGAGATAACAAGGTGTAGGGCTGGATGAACACTGCAGGCCAAGTAGCATCACAGGAGCAGGAAGGCTGACGTTTCGGGCCTAGACCCTTCTTCAGAAATGGGGGAGGGAAAGGGGGTTCTGAAATAAATAGGGAGAGAGGGGGAGGCGGATAGAAGATGGATAGAGGAGAAGATAGGTGGAGAGGAGACAGACCGGTCAAAGAGGCGGGGATGGAGCCAGTAAAGGTGAGTGTAGGTGGGGAGGTAGGGAGGAGACAGGTCAGTCCAGGGAGGACGGACAGGTCAAGGGGGTGGGATGAGGTTAGTAGGTAGGAGATGGGGGTGGGGCTTGAGGTGGGAGGAGGGGATAGGTGGGAGGAAGGACAGGTTAGGGAGGCGGGGACGAGCTGGGCTGGTTTTGGGATGCGGTAGGGGGAAGGGAGATTTTGAAGCTTGTGAAGTCCACATTGATACCATTGGGCTGCAGGGTTCCCAAGCAGAATATGAGTTGCTGTTCCTGCAACCTTCGGGTAGCATCGTTGTGGCACTGCAGGAGGCCCAGGATGGACATGTCGTCTGCGGAATGGGAGGGGAAGTTGAAATGGTTCGTGACTGGGGGGTGCGGTTGTTTAGTGCGAACCGAGCGTAGGTGTTCTGCAAAGCGGTCCCCCAGCCTCCGCTTGGTTTCCCCGATGTAGAGGAGGCCACAATGGGAACAGCGGATGCAGTATACCACATTAGCAGATGTGCAGGTGAACATCTGCTTGATGTGGAAAGTCTTCTTGGGGCCTGGGATGGGGGTGAGGGGGGAGGTGTAGGGGCAGGTGTAGCACTTCCTGCGGTTGCAGGGAAAAGTGCCCGGTGAGGTGGGGCTGGAGGGGAGTGTAGAGTGGACAAGGGAATCACGGAGAGAGTGGTCCCTCCGGAAAGCAGATAAGGGTGGGGAGGGAAAAATGTCTTTGGTGGTGGGGTCGGATTGCAGATGGCGGAAGTGTCGGAGGATGATGCGTTGTCTTCTTCAGAACGTACCGGTTTTGTTTCTGATTTCCAGCATGCGCAGTTCTTTGGTTTTTATGGGAGAGAACATCAGTTGGGCAGAGTGTAATAGGTAAAGGTCAGCCTGGGAGAATGAATGCTGCTAATGGGCAGCATTAGTGGCTGTTAATCGGCCGTTTATTGTAGCAGCCCATATGATGACACGTGCCTGCCATTTCAACACACCCCTATGTTCCCTGGCCAACATCTCTGTCTCGGGTTAGCTGCAATGTTCCAGCGAAACTCAGCACAATCTGGAAGAACAGCACCTCATTTTCCGCTTGGGAACTCTGCAGCCTTCGGGACCCAAAAATTTTGAAGGATGAGCATCTTTTCCCATGTCCTTACCCCAGCCTCTATACACCAGGCCTTGTCATCACATGGACTGCTACCACCACAACCCATTCTCAGCCACTAACGGTCCCCATTAGCAGCTATTCATTATCCGAGGCTAATATTTATCCATAAAAACCAAAAGAACTGAGAAGGCTGTAAATCAGGAACAAAAACGTTGCTGGAAAAGCTCAGCAGGTCTGGCAACATCTATGGAGGAGAAAACAGAGTTAACGTTTCGGGTCCAGTGACCCTTCCTCAGAAGGGTCCATTCCTTTGTTCCTCTCTTGTTTTCTCTTACCAATCGTTTACTCCCCACTTAATCCCATCTTCAGCATATATACAAATTTTTTCCCAACTACAATCAGTTCTTAAGAAGAGTCCCTGGACCCGAAATACTAACTCCGCTTTCTCCCCACAAATGCTGCCAGACCTGCTGAGGTTTCCAGAAATTGTTGTTTTCGGTCCAGTCTTACCTTTTGGCTCAAACAGGGATATCGCTGTCTGGTCTGAAGATCGGTATATACTACTATACATACATATTACATGAAGAGAGCTTTGCACTCTGATATAACTGCTATTTTATGAATGCATTTATAACCGAAATAATGTCTATGACCGTCAAATACAACGGGCCATTTAAGTCTCGAGCATGGTATTTAATTTTGCTAAGTTGTGACAAAGTTTGAAACTTGGTTTCCAAAATATAAACATACAAGATCTTCAACAGAAGCTGATTCCGCAATGAGCTGCTTTTAAGCAGCTATCGATGTGAAAATGTGACACAAACGAACAGACTTACAACGCTTTGCTTGGCGCCGTCTGCAGTATAACAGCCATCAATTTCATAAGTTGGATTTTCTTCCAACTCCTCAAATGTTAGATGGCTTAAATGTTGAAAGAGAAAACAAAAGCAAGAGTTGTTCTCTCTGGAACTATCCGAACATATTCACTTTTATCGCCAGGGCCAGAGCTCTGTACATATAATGCATGCGCCTTCAGGCCACAGCCTTATTCACCGTGACAAAAACCTAGGAAATGTAGGAATTCCTCATCCTTTCGAGTACAACTGCAACCTGACATGGCGGAAAGAAAGGTTTGCACGCTGTGGCTGAGAATCAGTTGCATTTTCTGCGATTTTGTCTCTATATTCGTCACTTCATCCTTGGCTAGGGTTGTTGGGGGAGGAGAGGGGAGGGGTGGATTGAACGGCTCCATTGCACACTGTAAATATTTCAATACTAAAATTACCTCGGTATTATTATTCAACAAAAAAAAACCATCCTGCCTCTCATCAATCGCAGGCTAGTAAAACATTCGAAGCTGGGACAATGCAATTGTGTAAACTATGAAGAAACGTACCTGGTCTTTCTGTATTTATATATTAAAAAACGCAATTTCACATTCAGGTTTTACAAATGGATGAATCTAATTATTTTCATATCCATTAATCGGCGAGAATCGCCCTCGATTTCTCAGACATGTTCCCAAACATCAGTCTGGTTGTTTTCCAGCGTTACTTCGCTCAGTCAGAAGTCTGTGCGAATTTATTGCTAGGACATGTAAATTGCACACCTTTTCCTGAAGCCGGTACAGTTCCTGTATTAGGAGTCTCATCACATTATTTCATTTGTCTCAGCGGCTGAGGATAATGCAGTGTGATCACTGGGTCTCAGCGACTTCAGCTGCAATCTCTGGTGGAGATATGCAGCTCCCATTACCCATTTACAGAATGCAATCCCCAAAGTCCCTCGGAAATGGCTCAAATCGCCTCAGTTGTAATCTTCCCAGGCTCTGCAACCTCCACATTCTCTGCCTTTTCAACATCCAGGCCTTGAATCGCTCCACTATTTGTGGCCCTGCTTTCAGATGGCGGAGCCTAGACTTCGGACTCTCTCCTTAAACCTCTCCCCCTTTCAAACTCCTTTTTTACAACCTACCTCTGAAAATAACTGTTGTTCATCTAACATTGCAAGTGACTCAGCGTCGAATGGAATATTCGAATATTTCTCCCTTGAAGCATTCGGGGCTAGCCTACCCGTGTTAAAGGCGCTGTCTAAATTCAACTTCGTGGCTAATTCCATTTAGCTTGCCGTGATTGTTGACAATGAGGTAGAAAAACAGCAGGCATTTTGTGAACAGCCAATTCCCGCAAAAAGCAGCCGTCAATGGAGTGCTCTTTGAAGCTGTGGAAGAGGAAAATATGTCCCTGAATTTCTTACTTACCTGGAATCATCAAGCGATACCAGGTCCTGATTTAACGTGGTATTTAGCCTATGACATACACAATGCTGCAGCTTCCTCAAAATCGCAATTAGTTATTACACTTAAGTTATCGACTAATTTTACCAACTTCTGACGGAGAATGGTCCAAACAGGACAAAGAAAGGAAAACACGGACCCCATTCTGTGCAAACGCTTGCTACAGAGGCAAAGGATTTAAGAAAGGCGGACGGCGCCCACTCTAAAATTAGACTAGCCTCTATAACGTTGGCCCATTCTCAACTCCAGACCAGGATATTCCTTCATCCCCGGCCGCACGATTCACTTTGTCGCGTGTTCTCCAAAACGGAGTGAATACTCCCTGTTTCA